GAAGCTGGGAAAGCCTCTTTCCCAGCATTGCCCATAAATACAACAAAGCTATTGTAGGCAATTTAAAGGGAATATAAGAATTTCTCCAGACAAAGAAACGTGGCCCAATAGAGCTGTCAGTATCGGGAAAGTGAATTTGGTCTTTTAGAAACTAAGCTACCTAAATCCATCGTTTATAGCCCCCTTCTTCCCGCAACAAAGCCAAAAGATTGCACAATCTGAAATAAATGTAGACTCCAGTCCCTTCCCAGAAACATGTACATCGGCAAGTACGCTTTAACGTCACGTCAAATTGATGTTTAAATAATCCTGCTGACTTGTGTTAGCAATATCCACCCTCGACTGAAGTTAATATTTGATCAAGATCATTTACTCTGAACTAGTCATAAATGATCTTGGTTTTGCATTTGACCGTGAAACTGGTCAGCACCACCGAGATGTTCTCATGTGCCTTATCCAACGTTGCAGCACTTTGTTTTGTTCTGCAGATTTAACAAGAATTTTATATCATGGAAACGCTGATCAAGAAACTGCTCTCCGTGCTGGAAGAAAGCAACACATCAGGGAGGCAAACTCAGCCCGCCTGCAGCGTCCCATCCCAGCTCCAGATCCTGAAAGCCCTCATAGCTGTGTCCAGGCAGGATGACAGACATTGCATTTATGCATTAACGCCTGTGATTCCCTTCTCCTTACCATGGTTGTGTCGGCTTGTTCTTCTCCGATAACCATTTCACAAGCCCTCAAAAATCACTGCAAGTTCCAAAAGTGAGAATATTCCCAACAAGCCCTGTCTGACACCGCTCAGAACCAACTGGTACTACAAGTAATATTCTATTATTTGTCCTGAATTCCCCCAAAAGAGAAACAGCACTGGCAGAGACACGCACACACAGACGAAGAGGGTCATCACCCTCTTACCAAAGCAGACCTGAACTGCCACAGAAATTTTTAATTTGCTGACAACTGAAGTGCTGATCTCGCAAGCTTGCAGGCAAGGGGTCCTGCTGGAGCACGAGGCCTCCAGCTCGAAGTTACTAAAACTTTGCCCCAGGTGCAGAGCTAGAATTCGCAAGAGCAGAGAAGCCTCAGCTCGACATTCACAGCCCACCCCAGCTATCTGCTCAAACACACTTCTACCTTCCCTTTTTATAGGAAAACCTGTTTTTTATAGGAAAACTTGTAAAATGTTCATGGCTCACATTATGGTTTACATCTCCAACCCTGGCTCTTCAACGTAAACCTGTGATGTGATAACTGCAGGTCTCCAAAGTCTCTTTCAGCTGTTCGTGCTGCCTGTTAAAGCGCCGGAGCAGACCCCGAGAGAGGGAGCAGGGTTATTGCCCCCTCCCCGGTTCTTCTCGGTGCCGCCGGAGATGCAGCTTGCCCAGCGCCATCACCAGCGAGACGGCCGGTGGTGTGTCCGGAGAGTACAGCTAACCACCTAATAACAAATCTCTGGGTTTCTGAAAATAACCAAATTATTATTCTTAGAAACAATGCATGTTTCTGCCTTCCTAGATTAACACTTAATTAAGAAGTCCAATATATGTACAGAGCACTTTTCAAAATCACTTTACCATACTGTGCCTTCGTGAATCATTTCCCTTACCTAGAGGGTAAAGGCTTTTGTAATACAGGGTGCAAATTAACACAAGAGCCACCTGAAAACACCCAGGAAACGAGGAATTCCTGAAACCAGAACTGGCTGAAGTACGGGCTGCAAGAGCACTAAAAAGCACCAGACAAGCTTCTGCACCCCCCACTTTTTGTCTCTTACCAACTCTCTCCTACCTACAGGGTAGACAGCACATTTTAAATACCTATTTTTCTGAAGTGAAGAACAGCACCAAAACCACTGTGCCAGCAAACAGCAGATTTCACCCAGTCCCCACCGTGGTTACAGGATATGCTCTTTGTTAGACTGTCTTCTTAATCCTACTTTAAGTTACTATCTACTGCGGGCTGACTATTCTTCACAAGTATATTAAAGAGCTCGTCTCCTAGGACGCTGCCCCTGTTTTACAGCCATACTATCCCTAACAGTTTGCTCTTGCAATGCTTTTCTTGGCTACCCAACGTACAAGGTTCTGGTTTGCTCACAAACGGGCACCTGGACACTCAGGCAGCAAAGGGAGCATCTCTGGCACACCGAAAAAAACCCACAGCACGATACACAGGGAGTAACGCAACGCAAAAAACAAGAGCGTTTCCGTATCAAAAGCCTCCAACTTCTTAATTTTTGCTACTAGAATTTAATTAGCCTCGTAGCCCATCTGGCAATTTGCAAACCATTACCCGGCATTCTTTGGACCTTGAAATATTTAACATAATGAGGCCCTAATAGGGACTAATCCTTCCACAGAAACCATTTAACTCCAGGAAAACAATGCTACTTAGTTTGAAATATTCTTTGTGAGCAACTGAAAGTGGCAGTTAATAAAAGAAATTGTTATGTAAAAAAGAAAAGGAACGGAGAGCCTGCCATGCCAGGAGCCAAGCATCCAGGTCCTTTCAGTACTCGCTGCACTAGCCAGCTTCAGTGTTTACAACAATTTTAATAATTCATCTGAGAACATCAAAATCACTACTAAAAATAAATTAACTACTTGTTCCTCGTTTGTACTGTATCTGAAGGTTTTACTCCCACAACATCAGAAGCTGAAGGCAAGTAACACCACAGAGGAAAAGATTCTTAATAATTAAACTTTCATACTGGGCTGACTGCATTAGCTTGAAGTTCCCAGGACTTGGATGAAAGGATTTAAAGCCAGTCTTGGCATGGGTGCCAGAGTCAACTTCCTAGTAAAAGGGATAAGCAGCAAAATGGAAATCACCCAGGGTTTGCAGGAAACCTTTGTGAGATTATTCGACCTTTTAAATTTGAGAGGAATGAGCAAGGAGAGTGTCCCATTCCCTGAAACCAGCAGAAGCTGATTTCCTACACTGGGAGCGGCTACCAGGCACTGGATGGGGGAAGAAAAAACAGGCAGCCGTGAACAATATTAAAAAGCAATTCCTACCACATACACCATAAAATCACATAGCGAGACATATACAAGGAATCTTCTCTTTCATCTTGTCAATGACAAAATTCTGCATCAGTTTGCAACTAAGTGTTGTTATTTACTGCACATAAGTACAGTCAATGAAAATTCCCACTTCCCAGCCTCCAGCTCCTATCTCTCTGGGGACAAAGGGAAAGTTAATTCCCTTCGTTATTAAACTCCTGTGCTGAGAGAGGTCTGTCATCACCTTTGTCAGGCAGGGTCGGTCAGAGTAAAGGCATTTTTACCCGCTAACTGCTGGAGTGAGAGCAGCCCACTGGTACCACAAAGGTCAAAGATCCATCGGCAGAGGATCCCGAGCAGGGCTCGGTGCGATATTATTTCATTTAAATTTGTTGTACCACCTCCGGGGCATTGCAGGAGTTGTGCCAAACCGCCTCAGCATGCAGGGATGCTGAAACCTCGCCCAGAGCTGAATGCACCTGCCTGAAGCACAAGGGGTGCCAGCGGCCGAGGGTCTACCGGTGGGTTGGGAGCAGCTGGGTGGGACAATGGGGGGCTGGAGCCCCCCGGGAAGGGCCGCGGTGGGTGCTGGAGCGGCAGTGGGTGCTGTCCTTGGTCCTGCAGAGCTCTGGGTGCTGCTGGAGCCCAGCGCGGAGCCCGGGGCTTCTGCGGGGGCAGCTCGCCCCAAATCCTCCCCAGGGAAAAGGGAAGGTGCTCCATGCGGCTGTAGGAACAGGATATGGCAGAGGCAGAAGGGTGCGCGGCGAGACCATCGTCTGTTGCTGGCAGTTCCTCCACTGAAGGTGTACAAACCACAGTGAAATCCAGCTCTCTAGGGGAGCGTTGGCCCTGCCGGGCTGAGGGAAGACAAAGGGATAAGCCCCTTGCCATGGAAGCCAGGAGGTACGGCTGGATACTGCCACGGCATTCAACTTTCAGGGGTGCGTGGGGATCCCACAACATTCACAAGGACATTTATCCCGTTGGTCAGGTCATTTTTTAAAAGCATAATGACATCCTGCCTTTAAGTACCCCTACTGACGCTGCTCAAATGTGCACTCCCTTGCCCCTCCATCCATGCCCTATCCAGTCTTCCCTTCTTTCCCCAGCTGCCCCTCGCATACCCTCACCACTGTCGGCTGGCTGCCGTGTTTCCGAACCCCCTTCGCCCAGCACACAATACAGCTGTCAAGCACACATCCTTCTGGATGTCACCTCTCCACATCACCCACAGTACCAAAGAGATGCCCCCACTCCCTTTCCAAGGCAAGATATTACATCAACCCAAATGACTTTTCCAAAGGTTTACATCCATTTCTAGAAATTCTTTATTTGCAAAACTTGGGAGTCCACACTCAAAAAGCATTTCTTCAAGCCATGTAGGAAGAACCCTCCTGCAGCACCAAGATTTTCTGTCTTTGCAGTTCATCGTTCCATACGAATTCTCAGATTTTTACACCATGCAGCTTTAAGTTTCTAGACACTGGTCATTAAAAAAACCGCTCAACATTAAGCATTACCATGTTGTCATCATTAGGTTTCAGAGCCAACAGTGTCAATGCAATTAGGTACAGCTCATTAACATCCTGCCTGCAGGCTTAGAGTAAGTATACTTCCAACAAGAGGTCTACCACCTCCTTTGTAGTCCAGAACACAGACGGCTGAGTGATTTCTTCGAAACACTAGTGAATTTCAGTTCCCATTTCTGGAGTAAATTGGATAGTAAAGATTTAGGGGGCAGAGTAAATAAAATTTTATATCAAAATTACCGTGAAAAAACTCTAACACCTGAATTAAACATGAAGATGAATGACCCTGACCCAACACAACCCTCATTTCTTCCTTTTGTCTAACCTCCTACAGAGCCCCAAGACCTTTCTGCTGGGCTGCAGAACCCAGACCTGCTCTGCGGCTGACACGGGGGTATCGATAAGGAGTAAAGGTTTGGCCAACACATTTCTTAGTGCCCATGGGTCCCACCCAGCAACTTACCAGGAAGCGGACATCATCAAAGCCGTTCAAAAGCAGCTTACTCTCATATTGCTGCAGGCCAATGGACTCCAGCCACTCCCCGACACTCTGCTCCAGCATCCGTGAACCTGACGAGAGAGGAATCGGCAGACGCTTGAAAAGGGAAAAACCGTTAAGGCGGTAGCAGCGGCACTCTGAGGAAGACAGATGGCATTGCCACATCATAGTCATTACCATAAAGAAACTCAAAAAATTATGCTCAGAGTACAACAAATCAGCCGGCAGACAATTCCTCTTGTGTGCACAGACCATGGACAAGAAGCTTCCAGTGCCTCCGCGGGCTCCGGGTTTAATTTGTATCCCAGTTAACACTCAGAAAAAGAAACACCTTGCCCGGGCAAACTGTTAAGAAGCACTCCTGGGACCATGACATCACATGCACTGCTTTCAGGGCGAGTTTCTTGCCCGGCAAACATACGAAGCCCAACCCCACGGGGATGCGGATCCACTCCTTGGCTCATCTGAAGGGGGCGGGAAGAGGGCAGCAAACTTTCACCCAAGGCATTCCCAGCCAGTCGTAGGTGCGAGGGAACGGAGCGGAGCCGCTCACGAATGCACAGAGCTGTGCAGGTCCTCTCATCCATGCAACTCCGGATGCACTACCCTGCTCAGCGGGCCAGCGGAGAGGGCCAGGCGCATTGGAGGCACAAAGCAGCTAGAGAGAAAATACATCTTCATGCAGCTGAGACACAAAACAGACACGACGGACTTTCAGAAAAGCAGCAGAAGCCAGACTAGAGCAGCTGTCCGCAGGAAGACATGCAAGACAAAGAAAGCACACAAACTGCAGCAGAAGAAAAGAAGGGCTTATACTTTTTTTCCCCAAGCAGTCCTGAAAGAGGCAAACCATGGTAGGGGCTTTTTCTTGCCGTTATCGCGTTAAGAGGAGCAGAGGCGCGAGTGACCCCGAGCATGAGTCCGAGAGTCCTGGCACTGTCATTTTACCACCTATCCGGACGCATGGCATTTCAGCACGCTGCTCGGACCAGGCAAGCTGCACGGGAGAGACTAACTACACCGCTGCACCGGCCGACAGCAAGAGGGATAAAGGAATCGGTACGGTTTTCACCCAAATCATTCAGTCCTGCCAGGTGTTTGCTGCATGCTTGTATTTGCCCTTGCTTCATTTTCTTCAGCTAAGCGCAGCTGCTGCATCCGAGCCCCTCACTCAAACAGGGAGCAGCTCTAGAGGAGGGGAGGCATTTTAATTCCTTCCTTCCAAACCACATCAAAACAGAAAGAAACTAAATGCAAGCACGCGCTCTCCTCTTCCTGCAGCAGCTCAAGTCCGAGACATGCCCTGGCACCTCCTCAGCCTCTGAGGAATGAGATTCTTCCCAACACCCTATGGAAGCTGTGCAGACAAGCTCTCCCTTCCCTCACCCCTGGGAAGAGAGTCCAGCGACTTGTTACTCTCCTCTAAAAAAGCTTGAGACCTTAAATATGACACACCAAAAAAAAGTTCCGAGATCTCCTTTTCATCAGGGAATTTGTTATGCAAGACAGGCAGAATTTTTCAGGCTTCTTAGCACATCTGTTTCAAGGGTATATGCAAATAAGAAGATGATCAGAAAACCAAGTTTGCTTTCTTTGAACCTTCAGGTCAGCCAAAGCTGTTTGGTACCTTCCAAGCCATCCTTCCCACCCCCGCCCGCTGCAATGGCTGCACAACGCAGAGCTCACGGTGTTATCTGGAAATTCTTGGGGTAAGGGATCCTGCTGCTCTGGTCCGCGGGAGAGCTCCTCTGCCAGACGAGCCACGCTCGGCGAGTTCGAGAGGGCTGGCCAGTCTTTCTAGTGCACACTGCAGCACGAGAAACGCAGAGATCACAAAAGGTTTCCGTCTCCCTCCCCTGACACAGCCTGTGCAGAAGGGCAGCATCTAAACCTGGAATTTATGCAACAAGGTCCCGCTCGCCCGGGGTCTCCATCCTTCCCTTCCGTCGCTCCTTGCTGGTCCGCCAGCAGCCGTGTCCCCTCACCCCGCAATTGTGCGTCCCTGCCGAGCGCTGCAGCGGCTTTGTCTGAAGGCAGCGAGCTCCACGCTTGCCGTTCCACTCTCAGTCCTGTCTCCTGCTCTCGCATCGCCTGTCCCTCCCTTCTCTTCATCCTCTTACCCCTCCCAGCTTTTCCATCCACTGTACAAGCAGTGAGCAGCCTTCGCAGCAGAAGCTGCGGGAGAGGGGAGGGAGACGGCAGCTTTGTAACTCTCTAGTGGAAATTACCGACTTCTCAATATTTACTCAATGATGGACTACGCGGCTTGGGTTTTCAAAAAATGATGTTACAGGTCTGCTTTGACAGTTCCAAGTGATTTGTGGCTGGCTCAGAATTAATTTATCGAGAGAGAGGTGAGGAAACTGCTTGCTGCCTACTACAGCATTTCTGGAAGCAGTCGGGGTATTGGCAGGGGGAATGAAACCACAGCAGTTCCTTCCTCTGAGCTCCTGAATTTCGTTTTAAACAAAATTATTTATTCTACTCAGCCTTTTGTACACTCATAAATGTATTTCTGCTTTGAAAGAGGAAACCTACAGTGACACCAAGTACAGGTTTTCTGTTTTTAAAACCACTTCAAATCAAGACAAAATGAAGGGGGCGAGTGTAGGTATTTAGAGAGAAGGGAATGTAGGGGTTTACTTTAAAAAGAAAAAGTAGAGAACAGATGCCCATAACATCCTAGGCTGAAAATAAAGAAGCCCAAAATACACTTGATACTTGCATGTTACAAGGATGACACAAGATCAAATGAATCCCAGTCACTGTGCCCCCAGCAAGAGCCCCATCACAACTTCTGATTGAAAGAAACGCCTAATTCTCAGCTCCATCCTTCTCCTGCTCCACATTTTAGAAATCCTATCTTTAAAAGGTCTGCAGATTGCAGAAGGGAAAATAGTCAATAGTTAGAAATAATTAAGAGTATGTAAAAGTTGCAAACAAAGCAAACTAAGCAATTCAGTTCCTCCTGCAAGACATTTTTCAAATAACACAGCATGTTTCAAAGACAACGAGAATCGGAGAGGACTACCAGGGCTCAGAAGGTCCTTTCACAAGTTGTTTCAATAATGACCTTCAGTGCAAAGTTTGAGTCTGTTTAGAGGATAAAATAAGTACGTGGGCCATGCCAGACAAAAAGCATCACCCTGTTTGCTCTTGGAAACTGATAACTGTTTAACATGACCTGGCATGGCCTGAAGACACTCGACCAAGCTTCACCTGGAAGGAAAAAAACTGCAAGTCCAAGCAAGTGTTGATGAAACCACTGTCCACACACAAAGTGATCATGCAAGAGAACCAAGTCAGGCAGTTATAGCCACAACTGGGGATGATCATCAGCTGAAAGTCCTTAAATACATTGAAAGGGGCTATAAACTCAGGCAGTGCATTAGGCAAGACGGATAGGGAAGGAGAATGTAGTCATTAATGCTCTCAGGTGCAAGAAATACAGCCAGCATCCAGCTTTACTGGAACTAAGATCAATTAGCCAAATGCAGACAGCTAACAAATTTCTCCCTCCTTTGTCAAGTAAAACACCAAGCACGCTCCTCACGTCTCAAAGTCAACTGCCGAGTTAACTCGCCAAGCCCCAAACGCACTCCCTGTCCAGTGCAGCATGCCTCCTGCCTGCATCAAGCTGACTTACTGAGCAGAGACCACTGATCTCCTCTATTTTTGGGGAGAGAAACGCTGCCTGACAAGTCACCGTAACCCAGCGAGCACCGCATAGGTTTCTTGTTCAAAGCCAACAGTGAGATGAGACGCTCCAGTGCAGTGGGGCTGAGTTTCTGCTGCCAGACCTGTACTCCCTACTCCTCTGACTCACATTTGGAAGGAAGAGAAGATCAGAAGTGCGTTGCTGGAGCTACATAAATATGCGACTGCAAAACACACATGTAGAGAGACACAGACTGAACACAAATATCTGTTCCCAGACCAAAAAATCCTTTAAGGCAAAGGTTAGGTAGAATCCAGTATCCTTTAAGAGATGGCGTTCCTTGATTCCCCAACCTCCAAAAAGCACTCACCAACATGGATCAGTGGCAGATTTCTCCTTTCCTCCCGCCTATACCATCCCACTCTCAGGAAATACATTTGGAAGATTTTCTTACAAGCTCTAACAAGAAATGAGAGGGTCAAACCTGTTGGCCAAGAAATAGATTCTAACTCCAAATTCTATAAAGATGCTGGGATGCATCTAATTATCTTATCATCCAGGGACTTCAGAAGTTTCATGTGCTCATCCATAACATCATGGCAAGACACGGAAGTTTTGTTACCCTGTTCTATGGAGGAAAGCTTTATGGTACAGAAACCAGCTCTTTGTCCAAATTTGTATGGGAAGTCTGGGGCACGGCACGGACCTGAAACCAAGCGTAAGCGTCTCGGGGCCTGGGCTTGCTCCAGCCTGACTCCAAGGGTCCCTGCCGTCTTGAGACACAGGTTAGTCATAGGTAATGACTGCTTGTATAAACAGACTCCAAACATACTTATCTCTGCAGTAACTGCCAAGCAACACATTTTACCTTTCCAGGCAAATTAGCGATTCCAGACACCAAACTAGTCAGGAGTCCCCAAAGCCCAGCCATTTTTGAGCATAAGAGAGCACATTTGAAAAGTTCCCTGCAGCTCCCTGCACATTTGTGACACGATCTGAAGCATCAAAACAGCCCTAGCAAAGTCCTGAGGGGCAAAAGCTGAATGCTGCTAGAAAACAAAACCGTAAGGGTGCACGCACCCCAGGACATCCTTCATCTTTGCAGCAAGGTGCTGGCAAAGCACTGCCCGCTCTCTCACTACCTGCACTCATAGGAAAGGAAGGAGAAACAGGGAATATGTACATGATCTGCGTACGAGGGATCCCAAACCAAGCGTAACACAGCACAGCCTGCAGGAAAACACCTGGCTTAAGGACAAGGCAGCTCCTGGGTCCGCCTGCTTCCAGAAATGGGTGTCCATTTTGCTGAAAACTCCCTGCACAATGGCAGCTTTTGCTGAAGTGCTGGCTCCTCCTCTCCCCTCCATGTTAGACCTCTTCACTAACGATATCGATCCATCACACGCACTGCTACAGCTACGGACTGGCTCGGGGAGGGGAGGGCTTGTCATAAAGCAGGATGCTAAACAGTTGCCATTGCATTAGACCAAAACCCACACACTGCTTTGCATCCCTCTGCGAAGCCCTTTGACCCTAGAAAACATAAGCCCTAATCAGTACGTAGCATCTAGGGCAGGCACAGGTTAAACTCCCAGTGGGAATGCACGCTGGATTCCTCCCTCACCAAAGCAAAAACCCAAGTGACAAATGGATATGAGATAAGCTTTATTATGGCAAGCGTGAGCTGTGTGTGCGGAAACATATTAGCATCTCATCAAGAGGAGACGCTGC